AAATGTTATTTCTGCAAACACCTTATTATAATTATATATTATATATACATATATATATATATATCTGTTTGATCACACTATTTTAGAGTCTTAATGCCAAGTCAGCAGATTTGCTTTATGAATTACAGGGACTAGAAATGCCCACATTCAGGAAATTTGTAATAACATTGTCTAGACACCTTTCCTCATTGTAGTAGCAAGTCTGTACATAATGTAAATATGTGTGACTGTTTGACTTGAAAAGGTTTGATTTCCGAATGTTATACCATCCTTGTAAGTTCATAATTTTGACCATAGATTATGGTAAATATAACCAAACTCCAGAAATTGTTCTAATCCATACAGTTCACACTGATTGTGACAAACACATTCTTAGTAGCGAGTGTCTGTATAGTCACAGCACTGGAGTTTACGAGCCGGAATTCTTTGTATGCACATGTGCGTGTGTGTATATGTACGAGTGTGCACAGGTGACTGGTTGAGGTGAATCTGATTGCTGAAGACTAATGAAGAAGAGACTGAAACCTAAACTCTGCTCAGCTGGCTTTTTATTTAATTGTGCTGTATGTTGCTTTGATTCATTGAGCAGTCAGGGAATGTGAGGAAGTTTGCTGCCAAAGGTAACTAGGAAAGCATCCATCTGCTGGCTCCTTGTTTTTGCTCCGAGAGAGGAAAAATACAAGCAACTTTTACTGTGTTTCACTGGAAATGTACAATCTTTGTGTGTGAGAGTATTTGTTTTAGTAAGAAACGTTTACATAGCTTGTGGAATTATTTCATGGGAAAATAAATTTTTATAACTTCTCCCACTTTATTTTCTAAACTTGCCTATCGTTCCTGTTGTTTATCTCCCAGCTACTGAGCACCCCCAGCCCATTTTCCCCACAACCCCACCAACTCACTCCAACAATCTCATTATCCGTCAAAACCCAGAAGTGCTTCTTATAACCAAAGTTTCCGCTCTTCAGAGGTAATCAGGGCAAAATGAGGTGACTTGAAGTGAATAAAATGTTAAGAAATTTCCCTATATCAGACATCTAGTCTGAAGGGGAACTCAAGATATTATCTCCATGCCTCAATTATACTGCTGTAACGAGACTCACAATGTTGTCAATCATGTTAAGCCTAAAAATTCTCCATGTCTTTCAGTGTACATTTTGTCCAGTTACCACTGGATAGGGAAGACAGTATTAGGTGGGCAAGTACCTAGCACTTGAAGCTTGTCCTAGGAAAATGCCTATCATCATCTGTAATTGCCTAACTACAGATCTGTACATTAGCTTAACAAAACAAGAATCTGTTTTGCTTCCTTGATTATTCCAGGTTTTTGCCAAACATTCTTGGACCTTTTTAAGTAAAACTGTTTTACATTTTAACTCATTTCCCCAACCCCCAAGAAAACTTTTTTAAATGATTTGAGTACTTACTGTTTTCTCAGCTAATATATGAAAAATTTCCCCTCATAATCTATTAATTAGCTCTATATTGTTTACATAAATTTTTATTGAATCTAAGAACAGTGGTCATATTTTCATTTTTGACACAAATTTTCACATCATTGGGAAACCATATATATATATATATACCCATTAAAATTGCTTTTATATTTCTTTTAAACTTTCCAGTACAGTAAGATGTTGTTGATCACCAGCCCTATCCTTTCCTACATATTTTACTCCAATTCATGACTTTAGAATACTTAAATTTGTGAAGTATAACTTGTATTTATTTTGCTGCTATCATTAAAGGGCAGTGCTGATGGCGTCCTTTTTTTGTCCCGGAATTAACAGTTTCGCACTTTACTATGGAGCATGTTAGTCCCAATCAGAGTATTCCTCAAAAAATTACATTGTAGGATTTGATATAAAAGCAACCATAAGTGAAAACTGTATTGTGGCCATAAGAGTAAATAGTGTACTAGTAAATGAAGAAATAATTCCAAGAACAATGGGGTATTTACTGACTTACAGAATGTAAAATTAGTCTTTTCACATAGCAAAGGCTTAATCTTTTGTAGAATCATTTTTGTAGTCAACCTAGAAAATGCTGGAAATGTACCTAGTATTATTATTATTTTTTTTTGTGGACCCATTCCATTTTTTCCCATGCTCCTTCTCTACTGCTCACTTAAGTTACTGTTACAAAAAAGTGCTGCTAAATGTAGGGCATCTTAGTCATACTGTACTTTGGGATAATGCCACATTTTAACATGGTCTGCCATGCAGTCCTGTTAAACAGTCACTGTTTAACAGCTACACTGTTGAACAAATCTGGTTTATTCACATAAAGAGCTGGCTGGCTTCTACACTGTTTATTAGTAGTAGTATTGATTACCATTTCAGGAATGATTGTTTTACTTGAGAATATGTTAAACATTCAGTAACACTTCCCACTTATGTAGCGTTTTCCTTAGGGGCAATGCCAATCACTTGGTCATCTTTTAGTAACCCTTCCTTTATGTCTGATTTAAAAAATTTTTTTTAAAAGAGGAGAAGTATGATAGCTCAAGGTAGGTAAAGTGTTTAAGATGTCAGCTACAGCTTAATTCTACATGTGCAGCAATTCCTGATTCAGATTTTCAATTTCATTCTTTAAAATGAAGATCCAGCCTGATGACAAACTGAACTCCTTGTCCCTTTGCTCAGTGATGTAATGCTGCTAGTCTTGGATGCCCTCATTTTAATAAAACTTCAAGAATGATATTGTTAGGAAAACAGGTAACTAGATGGTGACTGGTCAGTTGTTTAATTTCTGCTAAATTTTATAACTACTTGCACTTCATTTTGCTATTTAAACTGTGATACAGGGTTTTGCAGTAAAATGTATTCACTGTTGAATTTAAATGTTTTTTCTGTTTCACAGAAATATCTATGTTGACACTATATGTTAAAATATAATCCCCAACATTTCCCTTTTTCTTGTATTTTTCTCAAATTTCTTGTGTCCCTTGAGTATGCTTTATTTCCCAATTTGCTTTATTTTTTTAAAGAAACCCACTGAAAATTCTGTTAAAAATTTTTCCTTTAACAGTATTATTTGTCCTTTCTCAATATGTAAATATTTCTCTTTTGCTGGCATTATTTATATTTTGATACTTGACGGTATTAATAGAAAATTTACACCAATACAAGTTGGCTGTGAGGCTGGTTCTCTACCATTTTCATCTCAGCTTGGCACTTAAGGCTTTGCAGAGTGTGAGAGGAACTAAATTTTGTGGAGTTTTCCTTAAAATACATTTAAAGTTTGAGGAAGTACGTTGAGCCCTAAAAACAGAAGTGCTAGAGGTGAACAGTGTTTCTCTTTAGTCAAACAACATCTACTGGATATAAGGGAGAAAGGGATGTAAAGAAATCAGTCATATATTTGAATCTTACAGCACTTGAAGTATTTTTTTCACTCATTCAATAAGCATTTAGTGACTATCAACTATGAAGCAGTGACAGAAAGAAAAGGGTTCCTGCCTTCAGGATGTTTCTGAAGTCTAGGAGTGGGGGCCAGGGACATGGCTAGTAAACTACAATGATGGGGGGTAAGTGCCAGGAGATACGGGCACTAAGAGTAATAGAAAGAGGTACCTAAACCAACTGCTGGGAAGGGTGTTCAAGAAGCCTTCTTCAAAGAAGAGGTCATCTAAAGATCTTACCTGATTCAAAAGACCTTGCGATCTTTACGGATTCTATAAATAGTTATGAGAAATTCCTGAAGGAAAACCGTGGGAAAAAACCATTAAGCAATTGTTTCCACTTCATATATCCAAGGCCCAGGAACTTTTGGGTGATTTGAATAAAAGCTAAGCAAAAGTTTGATGTATCTAACACCTTATGAGACAGCATTTAAAGTATGGCTTGGGACACTTACCTGCTATATCCCACTCAAGAAATTTAAAGGAGTAAGGAGTCAGTTGCTGCCCTGAACTGTGTGATTCCAATGAAGATCATATGGGCATGTTACAGATTCTGATACTGCAGAGACCCAAATTCCAGAATCCCGTTTCAGTTGGGTGAAACTTAAATGGGTAGCAATTATCATGACAGAAGAACCATATGCAATTATTACTCTCAGAACATTTTATTTTAAAAATATTCTAATAATTCCCCTCTGGTTAAGAATAAAATATTTACTTTCATAACTTCCATAAGCATTTGTCTTACTTAACTATAAGTTGGGTTTATTGACTCATTAATAAACAAGGGAGCTGTGGTGGTATCCCAGTGAGCATAAGAAAGAACTTCTAGGATTGGGCTTACATGAGGCGACTGAGGGTCAGGTTCAAGAACTTGGGCTTTGCTTTAGATTAGATGCTGTCAGAAAGTGCAGGTAATTCTATGATTCGGTATTTTAATAGATCTTATCTAACACATAGGTAGAATGAAGCATGGCTAAGTCTATAACCCACGTGTCACAGTCACCTCATACTGGTCATTTTCATGGTTTGGATGATGATTTTGTCTGAGTTCAGATCTGATTATGAAGTCTTTTTTGTCTTGAACCCTCATGGTCACAGTGGCTTCCTCTGATGTGGGTGTTCTGTGAAATTGTTTATGTTCAACAGGAGAACAGCAAGGTCCAGCTGTGAGTGCCAGGCCAGTCCCTGGCCGTCAGGAGCTGGTTTTCTCTTCCTCACCAATCACATTTCTAGGAACTTGTATAGTATATGTTCCAATAGATGTTAAAAGGTACCCAACTTGTGGAATTTCCTCACTTTTTCACTCTACGAAGTGAAGAAAATCCTCCCTTTACTCTTTAGTTTAAAATCATAAAAAAAAAAAAAAAAACATAGTGAAGGCAGACTATCATTTAAAAGACTTCATTTCAAAGAGAATTGTTTTACCAAATAACCAAATTATTTGTTACCAAATAACAAGCAGAAAAAAATTCAGGTAAAATACTTAGCTCAGTTATTGGCACATGGTAAACATTATACTTCCAATGCCCTGAAATCTTAAGGAACTAATACTTAGGAACTTAGGAAGGTAATTTTTTTTTATAATGAAGTTAAATGCCAATTTTATTCCTTTTGTTAAATTCACTAACTTTTAACAAAAAAAACTGTCTTGTGTTCTTTACAAATTAAAACACAAGATCCCAAATGAAAATGTGTTCTAGACATCTACAGGCATGTCCCTTTCTTTATACTCTGCTAAATTCATAAAGAAAAAATTATTTTAAAAACACAAAATATAATCTTATACCACCCCTTTGAGTACATCTTCTGTGTCTCTTGATCCCTGTTGAAACAGCTGACAGTCCTTCTGTTTTGTTAGCAACCGTGCCATCAGTCAGTTGGCCTGACAACACTGGTTTAAAAAAAAAAAAAAACCCAGCACAGCAAATGTTTGGAATTTTAATTTCTGAGGCTCCTTTTCCTATGTGCTTTTGCATTTTACAAATTTTGCAATAAAAAAACCTATGCAATCCTTATTTGCCAGCCAAATCATGTCTTCTATTCTGGTATCTCTGAGAGAATTAATGTCAGTGTCCGGTAATGGCACAACAGATGGATCAAATCGCTGCAGCTGTTTCAATTGTTCAAATGATAAGCCCGCTCCCATCATTCCTTCTCCTCCAATCTGCGGTTCCTGTTTAGAGAAAATGATTAAGTATGAGTGAACGTCCCTGTAATTAATAAGTGTGTCTGTGTACAACTTAAAAGAGAAATTTGATTGTGTCTAACATATCTTCCAAAAACAGAAAAACGAGTGAATACGTTTTATTTTTGTGGAATGTACATGCTGTTTTTCCAGGTAGTAATTTTTCCAGGTATGGCAACCTCATGAATGAGTATCTGTTATGTCACATATGCTCATCAAGTACTGTGACATTGCAAAAGGCGTGAGCTTCATAGTTAGAAATGCATGGATTCAAATTGCAGCTCTGCTACATTTTAGCTGTGTGACCTTAAGTAACTCTACCTAACCCTGTTTCCTCATCTGTAAAATACTTTACTCAGTCCTGAGACTTAAATTAAGAATGCAGTATTATGCCTGGTATTAGTGGGTACTCAAAAAATGGAACATTATTATCTCCACTGCAATAGGTAAACTTCAGCTTTATTTACCAGACTCCCCCAAAACTCTGACAAACTCCTTAAGCATCTTTTTCTGCCTAAATGCCTCTCTCAGACCCACATCAACTGAGTGATAAAGGTTGTAGTTTTCTTTTTTGGAAATGGACTAGAATAATGAATGTTAGAAAGGAATATACAAAGTAAGGCTGCATCAATCAGTTAAGGGGAATACAGAATCATTAAGAATTGAGTAATACTTGCAAACCACTACTGCAAAAGATCCATAATCCTAACTAAGTCATCATTTCACAGTCACCTGCAAAAGATCAATAATCCTAACTTAAATCACCATTTCACAGACACATGTATATGTGTTAATGAAGATATTTTTTCAGACATATATCTAAGAAAACATATTTTTATTATTCCATAAGGAAAAAAACCTCTCTCTTTTAGGCATACACTGAGAAAGAATATATATATGTATACACACACACATATATAGGTAAAATTTCAAGTGAATTCTGAAGTCTTCCCTTCATCTACAAATAAATTCTGGGACTAGAAACCATCTCCAGATTGATTTTTATTTATGTATTCCAATTACATACTAGAATTCTGTACAGGAAAGAACTAAAGTTATATGTTCAATGTATCTGAATGAATACAAACATTATTACAGATTTAAACTTAATCTCAAACATCATAGACTAAAAATCTAATCCTAAATGTAGTTTTAATAAAAACCATAATGGAAAGTTAGACAGTGCTCTAAGTAAAATAAATCCTTTTAAATGTTACACATTTTATAAACAAACCATAAAAAAGCAATCATCCAGAACCACTTTTTTCCCTGTGGCTGGTCTTTTTATATCCCACAGAGTTATTAGAGCCTGTTTGGGCTTTGATGTGATGTGAGGAAAAACGGTCAACATTTTCTGCATCAGAAAAATACGTCACTATGAGTTGGAACTGACTGGATGGCAACAGGGTCTGGTTTTTTGGGGGGTGGCTTTGGGAGGGGAAAAAAAAACTTTCAGAAACAAACTTCTGAGTAACATGAACAATAGCTACAAATGGAATAAATACATAACAAAAATGCACCTAGAGGCGTGGTCAACATGGCGAACTAGTTAAAACGCTTCCTATATCCCTCTTACAACAAAGACCTGGAAAAACAAATGATTTGATTCTATGTGAACATCTGGCAGCCCTGAACAAGGCAAGGTTAAGAAATCCATCTGAGACATACTGGAGAGGAATACCGTTTGGAAGAGGCGAGGAGCGTTAGAGCTGCGGCAGCGATACTGCAGAGACCCAGCCACGCCAGCCGCGGTGAAGCAGGCAGACAGCTGTGCTGTGTGCGCGCTCGAGAAGCAGTTTCCACATCGAGAGAGACCCGGCAGCAGAGATTCTGCTTGGACACTCCGAACCAGTGAAGAGCAGCTCCCAAGAGGCTAGGATAAGTACATGCG